ACCAGTATATTAACCACCTTATCTTTTACAGGAACACTACAGGCACACAAACCTCCATGGTTACTCTACATAGCATTACAGGTCTTTTAAAATGATGAGACAACTGGGACTGCCATCTTTCTGTGATGAGTTGACAGCCTAAGCATGTGCGAGACACAGAGAGAGGTGTGCCAGGCAGCACCAAAAGCATAAGCCAAGGTGTAAAAATTACCCTACCTCAGGCAGAGTTTGGATTTAAGCTCATTCTGAAATGCATATCTGCTCTCAGGTTCCTTATATAATTTCTTTTAAATCATCTGAAGGATTAAAAAAATAACAAAACCAAAACCACAACAGTTAATTTTACACCTGTCAAACACTGAAATGTCTCAGGCCTATAGAATTCATATACCTGAAAGACAGACACAGGATGGCAGATAAAGCACAGTTTTTTGGTTAGGTTTGTTAGTAACTTCCTTCATCTGCTGTATTTTATGTTTTAAGTGGGTCTGCAATCCAATAACCCTCCTGCAAATACCAGTACCCAGGGAAAGCAGCACATGGAGAGGAATAAGGCATGCCCCTTCTGTTGGCAGCTGTAGTTAAGCCACACTTAGACATTGCATAAACTGCAAGGAAGGGTATAAAGCTAATATAAAGGTGCTACTAGAGGGAGTAAAGACCTTGTCTACTCAATACATAAGCTCAAATAATTAAAATGTTGAATGCAAAAAAGTTTGAGTCTGGAAAAGCTGCAGGGAGTGCAAATTCAGGCACAACTTTTTGTTTAACAGAATGTTAGCTAGAGCTGAATAATGCAGGACAAAGATGAGGTTCTGTTTAAAGGCACAGGGAGAAGGGACAAAAACATGGAGTTAGCTGGAGGGAACAAAGGCAGGAGACATAAGTACCTTTGGAGCACTTCCTTAATAAGTATCAAAAAAACCCACAAAACCCACCCATCACCTAAAGCAATCCACACCTTTGATTTAAGCGAGTTCCAGCATTGAGGAATCATGGATTTCACAGAGCCTCAAAGGAGCAGATGTGAAAACACAAGCACGAGGTAGGTTAGAGCCCAACATCAAATGCTGGAGCCTGCACACACCACTGAGGGAACTCATCTTCAGCTAAACTGCCACAACTTCATCCTCCTAGCGAGGAAGTGAAAGACTACAAACATGGAAAAAATCTGGAATTAATGATCAAGAAATCAACATCCAAGTCAGTCAAATAAGTGAAGTTAGGGAAACTAAGTACTATTCATTCCAGTTATTTATTGTTTATTGAATTGAAAGAAGGGAATACAAACATTTCTGTTAAGTGCTGTGCACCAACATGGAAAAAGTGTATTTTTCTTTTTTAAAAATCCTAATAAAAACAAATCAGAAGTTAATGTAGTCCCAATTGAACAATTTTAAAGATATGTTTAAAATACTACACATTTATAAAATAAAAAAGTTAAAATGGTGTTCTGTAAATAATTAGTAAAACAAGTGAAAATAAATACGAGACCCAAAGTTCTTATGTTTTTAATGTAATATAGCAAATAAATTTTTAACTAACTTAATAATATCCGAGGAGAGTAACAAAAATCCAGAAAGTTTAAGAATGCAATCCTTTGAAACACTTAATATCAGTCCATAGCAAATAGTCATTACATACCAAAAGCTCTAAGTGTTAACTAGTTCCACCACAACTCCATATAAATCTTGACAATTTAGAAATCTTGAGATCAACAATAAAGTTTCTTGATCTCTACAGCTTGGTTTGTAAGTACATACATGCTTTGAGGATCCATTTTGTCCCATATGTTTTTAAGGAGCCAATAACTTTTTCCATCTGTGCCTAAAAATGTTAAATTTCAAATCTAGCACATATACCCTAAGAATGAAGAAATGTTTAAGAAAAAAGATGGGGCACAATGAATTTCAAATTTATAAAAATATAGTAATATTAACCAAAACCTTCTGGTCAAAGGACACTTCACATACACACGACTTAAAGTATGCAATAAAACATGACAAGTACCTAGAACATTTGGTTCTCTGACTGTTCATGGAACACATGCACACACACATTCATACCAGATGGGAGGAACACTCTCACAGATGTTTTACTGAATCCAGATTATCTGGATTAATAGAAAACTTGTCTACAGTTTATTTCAACAACTAGAGGCAGCTACTGCAGCAGTAGTTCAACACTGCACACTTCAATTAAGTTCATCATGTTTAAAAAAAGTTTCAGTTAATGATTTTTCTTTCTAAACATTGTGAAAGTAGTAGTTTTCAAAATTATGCAGGGCAGCTGAAAATGGACTTAAGCCAATGTGGCAAAGATACGAGGAGGTCAAAAGGAGGATTAGCCATTTATGGGATGGGTGTTCCTCTTAATAGCTGTCTCAAAAAATTAATTAGATACAAGTGTATTTTGTAGCTAAAAATATGGTCAAACTATTGAAAGTGCATTTTTCCTCCTTCCCCTTGAATTACAGTAGTTTGTCTGTTGGTCAGTAAATCCTGCTTTTTGTGTCCATTCTTCTTTCCCTGCCTCCCTCATTTGGGGCTACAACATGTCCCCTCGAGCTACAGCTAATTGTATGAGTCCTGGTTTCCTGCCTTTAAAACTGATTTGGGGTGGGAGTATCACTTAGCAGTGTAGAAGTACACAACTAGACACAAACTCCCAACAGCATACGGAGTTTTATTAAACATTACCTGTTTGAAGCCAAGTTGAGAAGTAACTGGCAAGATCTGGACAGATTTCTATCTTGCATCTTTGTTCCAATCATAAAGAGAAGTTAACTTTAAAGTTGGAGAACTTTAGGAAAGACAGAGGGAATTTAAAAACAAAAGTGTCATTTCTCCCACTACCCTCCCCTCCCAAACAAGAACAGAGCTACCATTTTCCCTTTTGTGCTCCATTGTGCCTTGAAAATTACTTACCTGAACAGCTAAAGGACATTCAGATAATCAAATGCTTCAGCATTTTTTTTTAAGATCTGCCTTGATAATAACCTGTGGTTACTGTGAATATTTTAAGCCAACAGCTGACCGGAGAAATTTATGAGTACACACTTACAGTATTTTCCTCTCTAAAACCACAGGCCTGTTGACTAGAAATACAGTAATTTATTTTGGGTGTGTACTTGTTCCAGCCTTAGACTCCAGCCTATGAACATTTTTAAGCACATGGAAATCAACATGTTGCAAATGAGCAAATTTATTTGGGTTATTTCCCCCCACCCCACCCCAGTCTCATTCTTAGTCTGTGCACAAAAAGTACTGGTACTTTTTAATTCACATATTGTGAATGTGGCATGTTAGAAATAGTTTAAACTCCTCTTTCATCTCTAGGTTGGAATGGCAGTCATTGCTGCTACAGCTATAATGGTAGTTTACTGTGGGAGTGAGTCGTGTGGCAAAATGGAGATTAGTCTCACCTTTCTCTCATCTGTGCTCATCACCTGTGAGACGCAGACAGCAATGCAACACGCTGTGACTGAGACACTCTGGAAGCAGTGCCACCTGCTTGAAGCTTTCCTTTACATGGCATGGCTGCACCATGACACTAAAGGAGAGATAGCAAACACATGCTTCCCCCTAACACTGCTTCTGAATACCTGAAGTGTACTTTACAGGTACAAACCAAGTCCAGAAGAGAAGCCCCAGAATGGAGAGGCAGTATTTTGGATAAGTACTAGGTTTAAATTTGTAATTGCATTGCAGTGGAAAGCAGGCATCAGCCCATACACATACCCCCACACAGCTCGTTCCGGGTAAGGAGTCTCACTCTGGTTAGTTCTGACCACCACATGAAAAATGCCTGTTGAAGCACATGAGACTTTACACCTGAGATTTGATCCAGCCTTCACCCCCTGCCTAAAGCTCCCATTTTATTCCCATGAGTATGAGATCTAAGCAAGTAGTGCCAGAACATGGAATGTCTGGTTTGAAAACCTAAGTTCCAGAGTAAGACAAGATCCACATACTGGCACTGGTTATGAATTATACCATGTTTGGAACATGTAAAACACTGTTTAACATTTAGGTGATCAATTTTTATTTAAACTCCAAAGATTTAGCTTACACAAATTTGACCTTGCCTCTTTTCCTGCAACACTGATGCCAGAGGAACAAGCCTGACTAATCTTACACTGTCTGAAACTGGAAGAGAAACAAAGAGCTTCTTCCAGAAGTAATTAATGGAAGAAGGAACTGATTTGTAGTCTTAAGTTTACACATGTGTTCCCAGTGCTGTGGAACAGTAATTGCTATCAAGAATTCTCCTTAATTTTAAGACCAAGGTACTAGACTGAAGGTAAGAATGTTGAGTTCCTACTTGACTCTCAAAGTACTAGAAGACTAGTATGTCAGATTCAGGGCTAGTCTCAAAGTATCAGAATCTTAACTCATCTTTAAGTTCTTTATGTTTGCACACAAGGCAAAAAAACCACCCACCACCTGAGGGCTGGAATCTAAAAAGAAAAAAAAATCTAACCTGCTAATCTTCACTTTGTTTTTCTGGGAAACACCACATTCCCATTCACCAAAGTGACTACCCTTCTCCTCCCAAGAATTCCAGCAAACCTTCCCACACCCTTCTTCCACACATGACTAATAAACACTAGATTATTCTCTCATTAGAGGATGAAGTCCACACTTCTGTTCACATGACTCCTGGTGGCATGGCCTTCCCTGCAACTTTCTTTACTTCACAGCAGTACTGACACTACCTTTACACCCAAAGCAAAAGGGAATCCACTGCCATCCCATAATGAATTTGTGTGTGGTGCAGAAGCACAGAGATGCCAGGCCATCTGTTTATGTCAAAAAGAATACTTAAATTATGTCTTTTTTTTCCTAACACATGACATTAATGGAACTATTCCTAGATGTGTCAACATGTTCACAGCACCAGCTTGCAACAAGGTCTGGGATAGGCATTTAAATGAGCAAAATTAAAAGTATATTCTCAACAAGGAATTTATACACCTTTGTTTATCAAATAAAGAAAAATTTCCATTGTCATACAAGTGTTTAATTATGATTTGTATGTTAATTACTCATACAAAATGTTGACTTTGTGAAGAAAGAACCCTTTCAACACATTCTTCCCTCGAAGTATAGTCTACCTTTTACACCAGCTTTGTTGCATATATTTATGTAATTAAAAAAAAAACCCAGAAAGACATTTTCTTGTTCAAACTCTTAGTCTGGTGGTACAGTCTGAATGCCTTTTTTTTCCCCTAAATAATACAGTTTATCTGTTAAGATGGACAGCGAGTTCCTCCATCTAAAACAAGCTTCACTGCCTACATAAAGCTCTTTCCAGCCACTGCTTTTGATTGGGTCTCAAGACACCAGAAAAGCATCAGTGATACCGTGTTTCATGACACTTCTTGCATTGTTTTAATTCCGAATGTATACAAATGAAGTCATTTTAATCCTATAAATAATTTATTTTTAAAAAATTGTGCTGTTAACCCCTTTGCAGGGCAACGAGCTATGTGAAAAGTACAAAAACTTTTGTCAAATGTGATACTGAGAGTGCTTTTGACATAGTTCATTGGTTTTTATCATCTCAATTTATATATATACTGCACAATGGGCAAGGCTAGAATCCATGAACCAAGCTGCAAAGATCTCAAGCTAAGTAAGGCGGAGAGAGACTTGAGAAACAAGAGAAGGAAATACTTTCCTATCCAATGTATACTCTTCAGACTAAAGCACTCTTTCTATCAAACCTTCTAAACTGTTAAATAAAGTGTTCCAAACAAGCATTTAAGCTTCATTACACAGAAGAGCAACAAGAACAGTAGCCTGCCAGAAAAAAAGGCAGGAGGGAAAAATATATATACTGAGTTCAATGGTTAGCCTGAATGTAGCACAGTTCTTCACAACCGATGGGGGTGTGTGTGTGTGTGTAATTTCAACACGGTGTCCAACAACGTTCTAAGGATGTGCTTCATCTCGACTGGTTACTATGAAGCGAGGTGGTAAATGTTTGGCCCCAACTGGGCTTCAGAAATGGTTCTTTTTCATGACGAGCATGTCTGTCCAGCTATCAATCATGTTTGTTTGCACCAAATCCCAAGCCATTTAAAATACGACTAATTAAGTTGTACTGAAGTGGTCTGCTCCAAATTCGCCATCAACTATCCATGCTACTGCATTCCTCTGAGCAAAAACAAAAACAGAGAGAAAGAAATCACATCTTGAAGATCTCAGCAATAGTCAATATTTCTACTATAAGGTAATTAATACAGAGTGCTTACATAAATTTTACTGAACATTAGCTAGTGGATCTTATACTGTAACTAAATTCCATGCTAAAAACTACATGGTTTAGATGCAATTATTCATATTAATTTCAAAATTAATTTAGCATGTCAGGTGTGGGTAACTCAAATAGCATCTATTGCAAAAAGCAGTAAGACACATTTACATTTGAGTTCTAGGGAAGTGTGGTGATTACAAAGCTGTCCTGTCATCATTTGAGATTCTCAAGTTGTTAGGTCTTATTCCATGCACCTCTTGCAGAAGCACTGCTGCAAGAAATCCATTTCCTGTTGTTTTGATTTCTATAGCACTTACTAGTTCATTTTTCTGAAGGAACTAAGAAAGAGTGAGCCAGCAGCTAACTGAAGAAAGCAAACAAACAAAACCATGAGTAAAACCACTTATGGGCGTGTTCCAAGTGTTACAGACTAGCCAGGCTGTCCACCTATCCCCAGACTAGAAGCAGATGTGTCAGAAAGCACAGGAGCAGGGACAAGAGGCAATTCTTCCTCCCAATATCTTTCCAACTTTCAGCCATTTTTACCTGAGGGACATTCTGAACTAGAGGCGTTTACTTCTCAAGTAGCATTTAATGGATTTCTCTTTGATTACTTTGCCCAGGTTCCCCTTGAACTTATATCCACACTCAATATTCATGAGGTCCTGTGGCAATAGGATATGCTGTCTACTGTAAATTCTTACTACAAGGTGGAGTATGTAATAAGAGAAGCATATGAACTATAGAACAACTCCCAGTGGCCATCTCGTTAACCACTCTGGGGGAGGCAGGAAGGGTTGGAAACACATGCACATTTTAGCAGGGGAAAAAAAGAAGCATTGTGCCTCTCCCCTGGACACATGATTGCTGCTGGCTAGTGAAGAATCAATTTTGCACAGATTTTCCTGGGGGAATCTTCACACTCTCCAGACTTTGGAGACTCCTTTTGTAAGCATTGTGATACAATTATTCAGTTTGCAGCGCAGTTAGAATGCATTGTTTAAATTTTAACAACACTGTATTTTATTAAACCTCAAGTCTCGAAGGCAAGATTTTTACAAAGTCTGCATATATAAACTAATAGCACCGAGGTCTTAGTGACACCACAGTTTTCTACAGGGAATGTCAGGGAATGTTATTTTGGAAATACCAGTTGCTTCCTTTTTATTCCACAAACACAAACCAGTTAGATAAAAATCAACAGCCATACATTACAAAACCTCAGAAATCTGTAACTTTTTTAGTAAACACACCCAGTTCTTTACCTTCAATATCCTGGTTGTCTACGAAAGGCGCTGGTCCCCATATTCTAACAGTGCCATCGTCAGAGGCGCTGGCCATCATGGATGGAATCTGCGGGTTCCAGCTCACACAGTTAACTGTACGTGTGTGCCCTGTCAACTCCGCAATTGGCAGCTCACTCCGCTTGTGCCAAATATATACCTTGTGATCTAATCAAAACAGGCATTTAAAAAGGCATCATGAGAAACTGTTCTGCACAGACTGATAAGTCATGTCAAACAGCACTTCCACACAAGCTCTCCCCCACCCCATTCATGTTGTAAACCCCACATCTCTTGAGTGTGCAATAGCACTTCCAAAATTTTCCTTCTAAAAGTGACCAAAAGAATACAAGTAAAGCTCTTCCATGAAGAGGTACATTCCTCTTTCACACTTGGAATTTTACTGCACTTGGTATTTGAAGAAAAACATTTGACTACAATGCAAATAGGACACTACATGGGTAAAGAGAGAAACCAAACTGCTCCTTAATTATAGGTATGGAGTTGTAATCTTATTCAAAAGGAAGACTTGCATATGTTTTTTCGCCTCAAATAATTGCATTTACAGGATTAGTAAAATGCATTATAAAGTCATGAGTACTGAGACAATAATTGTAACTACCTCCCCTGTTGATGAGTACTAGACAAGATCACAGCTCTATAGTTTATGAAAACATCTTAATACTCAAGAACTGTAAAACTAGTGAAAGAGCAAACAGGGTAAGTAAGGGAGGGCAAAGCTTAATGGCTCAAATTGTGAGTTCTTACCATCTTTGACAATTAATTATCATGTGGGATTTAAAGATAGCAATTTGTACATGTTGAAGTAGATGCAATAAACAACTTTACAGATCTTATTTTTTGATAGGAAGCTTTCAATTGCTTCTAGGAACATGCTAAAAATAGAATAGTGAATTGGTTAGACTACTGCAATTTTTAGAGAACTGTTACTGCTTTATAACCAGCCCTATTTAAGAATAAATCAGGGATGGGTGTCTCATGGCCCAGCCGTAGACTAGCAGCCTGTAACAAGTCTGAGGGTTTACCTTTCTAGGAATATCTGTGAAATAGTCCAAACAGAACTATGAAAACTGAACAAGTTTGTATTACTAGTATTACACAAAACCCTAGTATTTAGTTCGAGCATATCAAATATAAGTATTTCAAACTATTTGAAAGGCTTTAATGCAGATGTCACTCTGAAGGCCTAGCAAACCAACCAATCTTCCTCTATTCCTCCTCCCAACCCCATATAAAACAAACTTGTTCTCTGAGCTGCCTGCTACAATAGCATCATGGAACCATGTGGTAAGTCAGCTGTCTTCTGCTGAGCCACCTCATTTGAGTGTACCACCTTTACATGCACTCATATTGACACAAACGTTCTGGCTGTGCTTACATTCCAATTAGGATTGTAAGAGACTACATATCCACTCCCCAAACAACACAATTCACACTCTGTTTACACACTGGACACAAAACTCTGCTGTCTGGGTAAATCAAAGCCTAAACACAAACCAGAATTTTGATGCTTGTCAGAATGCCTCTATTTTGGTTTGGAAAAAACAAATTGGCTAGATCGGTACCAGTTAATCAGCTGGTTAGATTGGTACCACAACCTGCCCCACAGACAGAGAAAATCAAAACAAGCTCAACTAAGAAAAGGAGGCAGGTGATAGTAGGTAGGGGGACTCGACCTTGACAGGCATGGAAGCACTCATCTGTCGGCCTGACCTGTTCTCGAGGGAATTGTGTTGTCTCTTGGGAGTGCAAATCAGAAATGTTAGAGACTGCTGAGCATTGTCAAACCTGATGACTACTACCCACTATTAATATTCCATGTGGGAGCCACTGACGTAGCCAACAGAAGCATAAAAAACATTAGGAAAGATTACAGAAGCCTGGGAGAGATGGCCAAGGACTCTGGTACCCAAGTCATCTTTCCATCCACCTGTGTGGTCCGAGGCAAGGGCTATGAGATGGCCAGAAAAACTAGGAGGGTCAATAGTTGGCTGAAACAATGGTGCCACAGTCAAGGCTTTGGGTACTCTGACCTTGGGGTACACGCAGGCAAGCCTGGTCTGACCGGGCCTGATGGGGGGCACTTGACAAAAAAGGGGAAAAGGGGAAAAGTGTCTTTTCTCAGGGGCTTGCGAAACTTGTAGAGACAGCTTTAAACTAGATTCATTGGGGGAGGGGGACACCTACTCATCCCGATCCTGCCAGTTGAATGCCACTCCCTATAATGGATGCCCAGAACAGAGCAATGCAACTGGTGAGACTCCAGCCAGCGTGCTGGGTTCATCCGGTGCCCAGCTCAAATGTCTCTTCACAAATGCATGTAGTATGGGCAATAAACAAGAAGAACTAGAGACATTTCTGCGCCTGTGTAGATAGGACATTGTGGGTATCACAGAGACGTGGTGGGATGGCTCCTACGACTAGAGTGTTGGAATACAAGGGTTTAGGCTTTACAGGAAAGACAGGCTGGGGAGATGAGGAGGAGTAGCCCTATATGTCAATGAACAACTGGAAAGTGTGGAGCTCAGCCTAGAGATAGATGAGTCGAGTCTGTGGGTCAAGATTAAGGGCAGGGTTGGAGCAGGGGATGTTACAGTGGGGGTCTGCTACAGGCCACCTGATCAAAAGGAGGGTATGGATGAAGACCTCTGTAGACAGATGTGATTAGCCCAAGCTCTCAAGCCCTAGTTCTCATGGGGGATTTCAATCATCCTGGTATCTGTTGGGACAGCAACATGGTGGTGCATAAGCAATCCCAGAGGTTCCTTAAATGTGTTAATAAATTCCTTACACAGAACATAGAGAAACCAACAAGGAGAGGAGCTGTGCTGGACCTTGTGCTCACCAACAGGGAGGAGTTGGTGAAGAACATGGTGCTCCAAGGTAGCCTTGGCTGTAGCAACCACGAGATGGTGGAGTTTGAGATCATCAGGGCAGTGAGGAAGGTGCACAGCAAGATCACTGCCCTGGACTTCAGGACAGTAGACTTTGGCCTCTTCAAGGACCTTCTTGGCAGAGCATCCCCTGGGATGAAGTCCTGGAAGAGGGGCCCAAGACTGATGGCTGATATTCAAGGATCTACTACTCCAAGCTCAGGACCAATGCACCCAGACATGGAGGAAATGGGGCAAAAATGCCAGAAGGCCCCCATGGATGAATAAGGAAGTGCTGAGGAAACTCAGGGGAAAAGAAAAAGGCCTTCAGGAGGTGGAAGGAAGGACAAATGGACTGGAAAAAATGCAGAGAAGCTGTAAGAGAAGGTAGAGAGACAGTCAGAAAAGCTAAGGCACAGTTGTGGCTAACCCGGGG